ACATACGAAAACTGCACATGTGACATGTACAACCTGATTAGTTTTGACATGTGTATACATTCCTGAAACCATCACTACAATGAAGATTTTTCCATCTAGATTTAAAATTTATTAGTACTTATAATATCCTCTTAAATATTTTTAATGCCTTTCTGATCTGAAGCAATTCACCCATTTTCCCTTCTGACATTGGCTATGCCTCTGTCCCACCCACCCCGTCTCCTTCCTTCCTGAACGGTATTATTACAGGTTTACCAATCTGCTTTTAAAGAACCAAATTTTTACTTTCTTGATGGGTTTATTTGCTGCTTATTGTTGTTTTTTTAATTTAAATTTTGAGGTGATTGCTTGGATAATTTTCAGCTTCTCTTCTAACATACAAATTTAAAGACAATAATTTTAGTTGCAACCCACAAGTTTTTTCTCTGTAAGTTTTGACATGTAGCATTTCCATTATCAGTTCAAAATATTTAAAATTCCCTTTATGATTTTTTCTTTTAACAGATGGGCTATTTAGAAATCTGCTTACCTTCCAAATATATGGGAACCATCAAATTATCTTTTTGTAATTGATTTCCACCTGTATTGCATTGTGGTCAGAGAACATATTTCATGTGAATTAATGCTTTTGAAGTGTGTTGAGACTTGCTTTAATAACTCAGCATACAAATTTTGGTGTATGTGCCATCTGTGTTTGAAAACTATGCTGCTGAGAGTAGTGTTCTACGTGTATACATTTGGCCAAGTTTGCTAATTGCATTAAATATTCTACAACTTAATTTTTTTAAAAAATATATTTTTATTGATTTTTAGAGAGGGAGAGGGATAGAGAGATAGAAACATCAATGATGAAAGTGAATCATTGATTGGCTGCCTCCTGCAAGCTCCCTACTGGGGATTGAGCCTGCAACCCAGGCATGTGCCCTCGGCCGGAATCGAACCTGGGACTCTTCAGTCTGCAGGCCAACACTCTATCCAGTGAGCCAAATGGGCTAGGGCATACTTGATTTTTTAAATAAATATATATTTTATTGTTTTTTTTACAGAGAGGAAGGGAGAGGGAGAGTTAGAAACATCGATGAGAGAGAAACATCAATCAGCTGCCTCCTGCACACCTCCCTACTGGGGATGTGCCCACAACCAAGGTACATGCCCTTGACCAGAATCGAACCTGGAACCCTTCAGTCCGCAGGCTGATGCTCTATCCACTGAGCCAAACCGGCTAGGGCACAACTTGATTTTTATATGCTTATTTTTCTATCAATCACTGAAATAGATATGTTAAAAACTCACTATAATTGCTTATTTGCCTACATTTTCTAGTTCTATCAACTTTTATATATTTTCAGATTGTATCATTAAGTGAAAAAATTAGAATTACTTCTAATAATTGAATTGACCCTTTTAATTTTTAATGCTTCTTTTGCCTTAAAGTCTATTTATTTTTAAAATATATTTTTACTGATTTCAGAGAGGAAAGCAGAGGGAGAGAGAGATAGAAACAGTAATGATGAGAAAGAATCGTTGATCCACTGCCTCCTGCATGCCCCACTGGGGATGGGAGCCTGCAACCCAGGCATGTGCCCTGACCGTTCACATGTTAACACTTAACCACTGAGCCATGGTGGCTGGGTTTAAAGTTTACTTTAAAACAATGTATCTATAGCTCCCTGTGATTACTGTTTGATGGGTATATATTTCTCCACCCCTTTCTTTTAAAATTTCTAACTTCTTATGTTTTAAAAGCATTTATTCTAAATAGCATATGGTTGTTTTGAAAGCAAACCTGTCAATCTTTGTCAACTTTGGAGCATTAGCCCATTTACTGTAAGAATGAATCTATAACATAGTTTATTGGGCACATATTATCTTACAATCCGATTTCTATTTGTCCCACCTGTTTTTCTTCTTGCCTTATCCTATTTTGCAGCTCTTAAGCCTGTCCACTGATTTATTTCATCCTCTCTCATTACCTAAAAGGTTACACACGCTTTTACTAATAGCTATTACAATATGCATCCTTGACGTATCACAATCTAATATTAAATGGAATTTTTAAATTCTCTTATTGGATGATGCAAGGGGCTTAGAACACAACTCTATTTAGCCTTCCCCATACCTTTACTTTCAGCACTTCCATATATTTTTTAAAACTCCACAAGACACAATTGTTTTATGTAGTCAGTGTTTATGTTGATCTGTGCCCTTTTCATTTTCATTGCTGGTCAATCCTTATATTCGGGATCAGTATCCTTCCGCCCATAGAACACTCTTCATTTTCCTTTAGGGTATATGTGCTGAGGAATTCTTCCAGTTGTTAGTCTAAAAATGCCTTTTTCCCCCCATTAGAAATTTCTAGGTTGGCAATCACTTTAGCACTTTCAAGGTACCACTTTATTGTCTTCCATTGTTCCTGCTGAGTAGTCCCTCTCTCCTCCCACTGGGAGCTTAAAAAAAATTTTTTTTCTTGTGGTTTTCAACAGTTTGACTATGGTGTGTCTAGGTTTAGATGGTCTGTTTAGTGCACTTATTTGTTGGGGCTTCTTGAATTTATAGCTTGATATGTTTTGTGAGATTCAGAAAAGTTCTCGGCCCAGTATTTATGTAAACATCCCATTCTTTTACTCTATTGAGATTCCAACTACATTTTGGTCAGACATTCTCACGGTGTCCTTTGTCTCCTACCCTTTACTTACCTTTTAGACCCTGATTTTTCATCTTACTCATTCTCTTCTCAGTTGTGACTAATCTGCTCTTGAATCCATCCACTGAATTATTCTTAATCCTGCTACAGTATGTTTCCGTCCTTGAACTTCTATTTGGTCCCTTTTTATAGTTTCTCATTTTCTTGGCCACAAGAAAATTAGAAAATTTTCTTCTTTGAACACAGAAAGCGTAGCTGTTTCAAATTCTGTGACTATCTGCAGATACTATGGATATGTTTTCTTTTCTCTGACAGTTTTAATTCATATTATCTCATATACCTGGATATTTCTGATTGTAACATTGTAGAAATAATTTGAGGCCTTGAGTAATACTCCTGTCTCAGTCAGCTTGGGCAGCTGTTACAAGATACCACAGACTGCCTGGCTTAAACAACAGACATTTATTTCTCACAGTTCTGAAGGCTGGATGGTGTGATTCCTGGAGAGCCCTCCTCCTGGCTTATAGATGGTAGTCTTCTTGCTGTAACTTCACATGGTGGAGAGAAAGAGAAATCTCTTCCATGTCTTTCCTTCTAAGGGCACTAATCCCATCATGAGGGCCCCACCCTCATGAACTCATCTAAACCTAATCACCTGTCCAAGGCCCTATCTCCTAATACCATCACATTGCAAGTTAGGGCTCAATATATGAGTTGGGAGGTGGGTATATAAACATTCAGTCCATAATAGTTTGCTTCCTCCAGAGAGAATGTACATGTGCTAGGCACCTGGGGACACTAGTCACCTAGTTTCACCTGGACCCACATTCAGGGCTGGCTCACAGAATCCATGAAGGATAGTCTACTGATAGTCATGGAGGACTAAAAATCCAACCAACCCTCCAGCTAAGGACACCTTGGGAATCTGGCCAAAATATTTAAATCTTTGTTTGCAGTGATCCCGAAGCCAACAGGCTGGTGAAGTGCCACCTGGTCAGTCGCATGGGCTGCTTTTCCTCTGGGGGCCTTTTCAACCCCAGAGGCAGAGTAGCTGGGACTTGGACAGCCCTGGGGAGTCAGGGAGCAGTGGTTGCCATGTACGCCCTCATCAAGGGGGAGGAGGTTCCCAATGAATCTCCCTTGTTTCAGATGGGAGATCCTAAGTGGATATGCCCTAAGGAGAATACATTTTATGCTCTGAGTTCTTAAAAAACAAAATTAACTTATTTGCTGTGAACTGTGCTATAATCCATTCCTCAGCTTTTCAAATTCAGAGGAAGCCTGGCTCTTCAACAGAGAATGGAAACCCTGACCTAGACTCCGGGAGGTGATGTGGGACACTGGATTAACCCTCATTTGGCATCAGAAAGCTCAAGGACCAAGTCCCTGTTATCCAAATGGCAGCTACTGAACTGCAGGCGTAGTACCTGGAGGAAATTAAGACCCAAAGGATTGACCTTGCAAACCCAAGTCTCTATCAACTCAATTACGCCGGGAGCTTTAATCCCAAAGGCAAGACCCTGGCTCCCCAGAACCTAAAGGACACTGTTGCCAAAGAGTAAGAAATTCAGGCCCCAAAGCACCCCCTCCCCAGCGTCTCTAATGGGCGGACCCTAACACGCTCACGGAACTGGCTGGATGTTGATTGATGCTGGTCCCATGCTCTGCCCTCTCCGTCTTGCGCTTTGCCAGCTCCTGTGATTTCCTTCCAAAGGAGAGGACGGTGTGCGGTGCACTTTCTATGCTTCACCTTTATGGACCTTCTTTTCCTTCCTTCCTCTGTCTTTGCCCTTGAGCGGCTCCGTGCCCTGCTCTGCTGCACCGCTGAACGTGGCTGCCCTGGGATGCCCACCTGACAAGGCTGCTGTCCACAGACCCCAGCACCGGCCTCAGTGGGCGGCAGTGGGAACCAGTCCTGCTTCTGAAGCTTTTTTGTACAGTCCTTGAGCTCTTGGAAGATAAGGTGCTAGCGAAAGGGGCACGTTCTTTTAAAGATAAATATTGTGGCAGAACCCTTTGTTGGTAAGCTGACACACTGCAATAACAGCTTCGTATCTTGGATGAAATCAGATGTTAATTTCCCTCCTAACACATGACGATCCTGTATGGCCTCATTCTACCCATTTTTACTTTGTGGAAAACAAAAAAATTTCCAAACAAATTAATGCAAGCATAATTCAATGATGCCATTTAAATTTATTGTCATGTAATGCATCTTTCACAAAAGCAAGCAGCTCCTGGCGGGTGGGACGGGCACTCACACGCTGCCTCTGCGGCCGCAGCCCCGCTGGGCTTTCAGGCCAGTGGGCACTTCCACTGTGCGGTGATGAGAGGGGCGGGGGGGGGGGGGGGGAGGAGGGGAGACGGGGCTCTGGGGGCGCCTCGGTGAGCCAGGCGGCCGGGGGAGACGGGGGCTCCTCTGGTCACAAGAGCTGACGGCCCTGCAGCCCACAGGCTGTCCCGCGACACTGCCCAGCCCTCAGCCCTGAGGACACTTCTCAGGTCCCACCAGAGACTCAGCGACCCCACGTGACCCTCTGAAGATTTTGTGTTTTGGTTGCATGGAAGCAAATCAAATGCTTCAGAAACGAATTAAAGCTATCCGTCCTTCCCCCACGTGGGAGCTTTGGTTTCAGCGCTGCTCCAGGCGAGGATAAAACCGCCCAGCCGACCCCAAAGGCCTGGAAGATGGAGCCGCCCAGGCCTTTCCCGGGGGACACACCGACGTGCATGACGTGTCCTTTTCCGAGACTGTGATGGGCTAGGCACCCGCCGGGGACATGGGGACAGAAGCTGGTTCCTGAGAGGGCCGGAGGCAGGCTGCAGCGGATGCTCAGGCTCCCGTGGAATGATGTGCTTTTGTCTTCGTGCATGAAACTGCTTCTCATCTAGACTGTGCAGGGGCGACGGGGCGTGGGCCGGGCTCGCCGGGGCGCCCACGCCTCCAGTGCCTGCTGGGCTGAGGGCCGCTGCCCGCTCCCTCGGAGAAGCGCCTTCCTCCAGCTCAGGGACCCAGCGCGGTCATCTAAGCCCCAACGAGTTTAAACCATGTCAGAAATGAAGAGAAAAACGTGTTTTTCATCTCCTGTGGGTACTGTATTAATCAAATTGGTCTCCTTTTTCTCCCATGAGTCTGGCTGAAGAAAAAAGATTGCTTTTGAAACGAAGCTTTCCTTTCCTAATGATTAATACAGAGTGGATTAACTTAATTTGTACTAGACTCCAATTTAATTCAGCCACAGCAGAGAGGCCAAATCCACAGAAAAGCCGAGCTGGGCTTCAGGAGGCGGAGCCATTTCCTTTTTTGAGGGAAAGATGCAGGGGATCTAAAGGCTTAGCCAACTGCCCGGGCACCGTGTTTATTAAATCACCACGCAGACGACTTCATTTCCTCATTAATTCCTGTCTCGTCATCTTTTCAGATTGGTATTTCTCAGCGTTGAAAGAAACACACATATACATACACACGCGACTAAAACAAAAACCTTGAACATGCAAAAAATAGAATGTCCTGGGGAAGTATCATGTGCCTAAGGCGGCGGCTCCTGGGAAAGCTCTTGGTTCTGGTTTAGAAATAAATAAAATTGCATGTGGGACAGCAGGTTGGATATTTATTATTGTTGTGCCACCCCCCCCTTTTGTACTAGAATTGAAGCCGAGTGATCTACTGCCAACTGGCACCGCTGCTCCACATCCGAGTGTGCAAGGGAAACACGCCTGTTTCCTGATCCTCACAGGAGACACACCAGGCCATCTCCCGGTCTGTTCGCCAGAAAAACACAGGAGAAGGTGCTCGGTGGCGGGCGGGCGGGCTGCCCTCAGTCGGAGTCCATCGTGAACAGCTGGATGTCCTGCGGGCTCCAGTACAGGCCGGCGGCCGAGCTGTACACCAGGGACCAGACGTAGGGGATGAAGAACTCCTCGGGCTGCTCCTCTTCCACATACTTGAATTTCAATTCCGGAAACTTCTGCAAGGAAACAAGACGAGTTTACAATCGCGCCGTTCCATGCTGTGTGCGGGAGCCCTCCCCGAGGCGGCTTTCCCAGCTCCGCTCCCGCAGGACTCCTGAGAGCTCGGCGGCCCCTGCGGAAGGGCACGCGCCCCCCTCGGCACCCCGAGAGGAGCAGGGGCCCGAGAGGGTGGGCCCCTCAGACTGCACGGGCTTGGTTCCAGGGCCGTCACCCTGGAGAGGAGCACCTTCCCGCACAACCCCTCAGCCTGGGCGGCGGACAGGCACCCACTGGGTGGAGCGCTGGCATCCGGGTGGCAGCTGCTCTGCACAGCGCAGCTCGCCACCTCCTGCGATGGGCCAGTGGGTCAGCGGAGGGAAGCACTAGCTCCAGCACTTCTGACCGGCGGGGCCTCCATTAGGCCGCCCAGGTACCCATTTCCTCGCCAGCCTCTCAGGGGGTCCCGGGCATCCCCTACCCCGGCCAGCACCGTAACTGCCGAGCAGCTGGGTGGTTTCTCGGAGGCCCAGGCCCTTGGCCTCTTGAACGAGCCTCCTCACACTCTGTGCTGCTTCTGGCCTGGCAGGGGTGCCAGGTGTGAGGGGACAAGGCTCTTGGAGGTGGCAGTCAGTCTTTGTCACGAAATCAGGTGTCTTACAGGTAGCAACACAGTGATACTCTTTTCTGTGAAAAACTCGCATTTGCAGCAACGGTGCAGCCAGCAGCTGCCACCAGCCGCGCTCTGCACCACGGCCGTCTGCAATGTTCCATGCGGCCACCCCACTAATGGGAGGGGCAGCGGGGGCTGCTCTGGGCACCTGGCCTGGGCTGTCGTCGGGAGCAAAGCCGAGGTCTAAGCAGGAAAGTCAGTCTGAAAGTGTCACCACAGCCACCCTAGCACTTGGTCCTTGAACTCCATTCTGCCAGCCCCCCGGGGCCCTGGGGGCTAGTTCTGCGCCCTGTCACTGCAAGACAGAACCCGCCACACTGGTCCTTAAATAATGACCAAACGCAGAATGAGGTCAGTTATCAACGGATGGGGCTGTGTTTGAAGAAGAAATGTATCCCCTAATAACAAGGAAGTCCTACTTCTTAGAATGGCCTCAAACTTTAGAAAACCCCTCCCAGAGACGTGGAGAGAAGGGGTGGGGGGAAGGGCAGGGCTGGTGGTTGGGGGGGACAGCCCCCACACTGCCTACAGCGGGAGTCTAACGCCTGCTTCCATGTGGTCAGTAGCCAGGAAATGCACTCCCGTTAGAAATCAGAATGACTGACAGATGCGCAGCCCTGTGGCACCGTTGCGGTTCCCCTGTGGAGGCCTTCGGGCAGGATGCAAGGTCACTTACACTCTGCATCTCCACGGAGGTGGGTGGGAAAGAGAACGAGCCAGCAAACTGCTTTAGTGACAATTCCTTCTCACTGAATTAAAGAGTTAGGCAAGAGCCCCTACTGGGGTGGGGCTTTGGGGAAATTCTGGTGACTGCTCAGTTAGAGAGGCACGAGTCCCAGAGCTGTACTCCTGAAACCTGTATGGTTCTGCGATCCAATGTCACCCCAATTGCTTAAAACCAAGACACATGGGAGGTGCAGAGCTGCTGTGGCCTGAGAGCTAGTGCAGGCCCGCCCCGCTCAGGCTGGGCGCCTGGGACTGCCTCCTAAGGATGCACCACTGAACACAGGGACCAAGGGCAAGGCCAGGAGGGCTCCATTACTCGCAAAACCTGCACGCTGCAGGTGGCCACGCATCCCCACGCTCCTCTCTCCACAAGGGAGCAGTGAGCGGCAAAGCATTATTTCTTGTAACTTTTCATCAGCACTTACAAGATCCAGAAAGGGGGATAAAGCATAAAGAGCAAGAAAAACAGAAGCATGTCCCTAGGACAGTGGTCGGCAAACTCATTAGTCAACAGAGCCAAATATCAACAGCACAACGACTGAAATTTCTTTTGAGAGCCAAATTTTTTAAACTTAAACTATATCGGTAGGTACATTGTTATTAACTTAATTAGGGTACTCCTAAGCTGGCCTTTGCTAGAAACGTCCTCAATCTGATTGAGGTACGTTCGCTGAGGTCGACCCCTTCCAACTCTCCCATCCACACTCGTCTGGTATACTTGTTTTGTCTATCTCCTTTGCTTCATCCTCTCTATATGTCCAAACCATCTCAACATACCTAAAAATGTTTCATTTTATAATAATAAAGTCACCATCACAAAATAATGACAATTCTTAAATTGATGACAAAAATACCTGTAGGATTTGCAGCTGGTTGGAAAAATACAGGTAACTTTATGCTTCAAGTAGGTACTTTTGTCACCCGCGCGTGCGATTTGCAGACACGACTAGCACTAACCACTGCACATGAGGCTGCTGACTGACTGGCTCACTCAACTCGTGCATGAATCGCACGCGCCTCCCGCACTGCGTATCCCGTCGCCCGACCGACCGACACTCCCCACTTCTTCTACCGCCACTTCTTCAAAATAGACTCGCCCAGGCCGAAAACCGACTTCTGCGCATGGGCCACGAAGTTTCAATCGCACTGTACCTGGGCGCCCGCACGTGGCATTTTGTGGAAGAGCCACACTCAAGGGGCCAAAGAGCCGCATGTGGCTCATGAGCTGCGGTTTGCCGACCACTGCCCTAGGACTCACTACACTAAGCTAACACTGGAAAGCGCAAAGTAAGAGCTTCCATTTCCTGCAGCGAGCCGTTTTTAAGAGCGCACTGGGAACATTATAAAAGGAAGAATAAGAGGCGTAAGTCATACAAGAGCTTTGAAAACACCATCTGGTCAACCCGAGTGTGAACGCAGCCTCCGAGGGCGCGCTGTGCCCGAGCTGCATGCAGCCCGCCCCTCCCCCACGCCTACCACAGCTAGAGAGAGGACAGCACGGTTCGAGATTTAAACAGACCTCTAAACAAACAGTGCTCCTCTGATCTGTCGCAGAAGCCTGGGAGCTAAGGAAAAGGAAGACAAAAGGTTTTATTTAGCACTGATGACACTGGGGACACATTTTGTCAGGATTCAGTCCAAGAAGTGTCCTAGTCTGAATGTCAAATCAACAACCTGGGAAGAGTCACTCTTTCCTCTGCCCCTTTCCAGCCGGGGGAGAACAATGATGCTATCCTGGGATGGCCGAGGGAATCCCACTTCCTCACTCGAGGGAGCGTCTTCACTCCTGACTCCGCCAACGAAGTCCCTGCTTCCCTGGGCCCAGGCCGCGAGGCGCTCCCAGGCCTGCCCAGCGCTGACCACCCATCTTCTCTCCAATTCTCAGGCCCCTGTGGGCCCCAGGTGGTGACAACTGGGGGGCGTCCTGAGGACCACTAGGGCCTGGGAAAGCGGAGGGTGGGGCTGGGGGTGGGCTTTGTTTGGTGGTTGCGGCAAGAATTCACCTGGAGTGTGCCAGCAGCGGGCTTCAGCCCCCCTCTCCAAGACAGTTATCCTGTGACTCAGTTAAGGAGCGAAAAGCCGTCTCCCAGGCTTGGAGCTTGGTCTCAGTCCAGAGCTACTGACAACAATCCTGTTGTTTTGATATTTGGAGCCAGAGGTAATGCTAGACTCTCAAGTTTGGCCGGAATGTTTTTATCAGCTCCAGTGAATCAACCCCCCACAGGGGGACATCCGGACGCCCAGCCCAGAGACAAAGCAAAGGTCTGATTTGGTGGTTGAGACTCGGGTATAATAAGCAGACCAAACACTTTAAAGACGGTCTCTGCTGTCGGTCATGTGATCTGGTGGAGACCCACAGGATGTTCAGTGAACAGATGGAGGGCTCAACTGCAACAATTTTATTACCACAAAAAGTTCAATGGCGTTTTCCCCCTTCCACCCAAAGATTACACAGATAGCACCCGAAATTCTAGCAAGCCCCTGGCCCGGCTCCAGAAAGCTTAGTGCAATTTAAAATCAAACAGCTACATAGCACATTACAAAGAACTTTCTGGAAGACCACAATAAGCCTCTGAGTAGATGAGTGATGGGCGATGGTCCGTGCGAGCCACTCGCGACCACCGGCAGGTGTGGGGGTCAGGCTGCAGGAGGGAGTTCTCGTGAGCAGTGCACACAGGCTTGGGGTCGGAAGTGAACTGGTTTAAAGATCCCACCACGAGAAGGGAAACATTTACATACATTTTTTAAAAACCCAGGGCTGATTTGGGCATGATTATCAGCTCCACCCCATTCCTTCCCTCAAATACTCCTGCTGCGTAACACCAAGTCCTCCAGTGGCGGGTCCTGGCCTTGGTGAGCGCCAGCTACACACGAGGCTACGCTGAGCCGTGGAGGAGGAAGGGGAGGAGCCGTGCTCCTTTAGCACCTGGCGGTCAGGAGGAGGGACAGGGACAGTGGGCGCATGGCCTCTCCCACGTGGGCCTGGCTATCACTAGGGGAGGGGGGAGAGGTGACCTGGGCCTGGACAGCGAACTCCAGGAGAAATACTGAACTGACAAATCCGGAAACATCCACATACTAACTCAGCTAACTTATGGCTCAGCAAGTCTGAGCCACAGGCTCTTCTGTGTGTAAGGGAACGAGTTACAGATGTATCCATACTATTACTTAACTGACAAAAAGATACCCAACAGTATGTAACAGTAATGCTAAATGTGGCATAATTCTATACTATGTGAATTACTTTCAAAATTAATGAAAAACTAAATTCAAACTACAGACAGTTATGAAGGGCCACTTAATAAAAGTTACAGATTACGAACTCCGAAGCTAAAATGGAGAAGCCCATGATGAGGGCCGCTCAGAAGACAGTCACTGCACTGCACGTGTGAGAGCCGCACGGCCGGCCAGGCGCAGGGTCTCGGGGGGCTTGCTGGGAGTAAGTTTCCACCCAAGAAGAGAGTTACAAGGTAAGCAGACCCCTATCCTGAAAGCTCAGGCCAGGGGACCAACCACATCTCACTCATGACATTGTCTTGCCACCTCTGAGTGTCTACAAGTGACACCAGCCACTTCTGTGACTGGTGGCAGAAAGGCCTTAGAAAAACAGATGGACACAATTTAAGGCTGAACTCACATTTGGGATGAGCTCTCCACAAACTTATGGTCACATCTCAGCTGGAGTCTGAAGCCCACTAGAGTTTGAAGCCGGAGCCAAAGTCCCGGCGAGGCCCTTCTCCCCTGATCCAGGTCAGGGGGGGGTCCTGGAAAGGAGCTTGAAGTTCCCCTCTTTTCTGGGGGCTGGTGGGCTGCATGGAGGAGGAGGCAGTAAGGACAGGCTCTCCTGCTGCAGGGGAAGTTGGAGAAACACCCGACAGATGGGTTCTGACCTGCAGGAATGGGGCTGGGGGCAGGGAGAGCTGGCACTGCACGTGGAGTCTCCCGAGCAACAGTGAGTTCAAGGTACAGGTCTGGGTCTGGCAAGTCCTGTGGGGCCAGTGCACAGGCCCGGAGGCCGGCAGCAGGGGATGGGGGTGGGGGGAGGGGGGTGGGACACGGGAAGTACAGGGATGGAGACAGGCAGGTGGGCCTCGAGGGCCAGGATGACAAGTGTGCCCCTTTGGCGAGCCTAGCGCTGAGAGACTAGGCTGGGCATAGATATTAGAATTGAAAGTCATTAGTATCAAGGTGGCAGCTGAAGGTGCCAAATGTGTAAACTCCTCAAGACTGAACCGCACTATTGAGTCAAAGCATCTGTTTCAAAGACCAGTCCGCTCAGCGCAGGAGGCTGGGGGTTTGCTTCAAGGTGGAAGGTGAGGGGCGAAGCAGAGGATTCACTGGCAGAACTTGTGCTGGAAGCAGGCCCAGCAGGAGCCACAATGATGGGAACTGCTTGCTTTTCTGCATGGGGCTCATCACTCTGCACAGGACCCAGACACCCAAGAGGGCGGGATCCCAGCCCTGGCCGGTGGCACAGCTGACTGGAGCCTTGTCCCGTCTACCAAAAGCTGTGGGTTCGAGCCCTGGTTGAGGTGTGTAGAGGAGGCAACTGATTGATGTTTCTCTCTCATATCTGTTTCTCTCTCCCTCTTCCTCTCTCTCTCTCTCTCTCTCTCTCTCTCTCTCTCTCTCTCTCTCTCTCTCTCTCTTCCTTTCTCTAAGCATGTCCTGGGGCGAGGATTAAAAAAACCTGCTTCACTTTCAAAAGAAGCCCACGAAGGAAGAGGGAGTGCTGTGCTTACTGCAAGTCACTCACATTGCTGAGACATCTTCCGTGGCTTCTCCATACAAAATACCTTCTGGTGAAGAGAGATGTGTTAAAATAAAACTTCTGATTAAATCCCTCTTGCAAGGTGACCTGTTCACCCATGCATCCTTCCTTCCTTTGTATGAATATTTACATTTTAATTATAATCACTGATGCTTTAACAAATACGGTGTTTTAACACAATGGTGGTTACAAAACAATGGCCTTCTTCGCCATCTGGCTGATGGGCCCACATACATCATTTGCAGTGACTATACACCAAGGCCTCGACCTGATGGCTGAGTCGGGCTGTTTTCCTGGCTGTCCGGGGGCTCAGAGCCGGAGTAGTGCGGTGTGAGGCACGGGGGCTGCCACCCTGCCCTGCGTGTGGGGGCGACCTGCTGGAAGTCCAAGCTGACGGCTCACCCCGTAACAACAAAGGCCCAACATTACAACATCTGATTAGAGAAAAGTGCAAACATATACAAAAAACAGCCCATCAACCAGCTACAAGTCATCAGCTCTTGTCCATTCTTGTTCCATCCACTGCATACTCTCCCCTCTGAATTATCTTGGTGCCAATCTGGAATACTGTATCATTTCCATCCCTAAATACTAACCTATAATATTATCAAACAGCTAAGAGCTTTCTGCTCTACTTCTAAGGCAACCCAGCACGAGAATGAATTTCAGTTATAGGGTGACCCTTTGTATCATAAAAAATATGAAATGTGTCCTTGCCCTTTAAGCAACTTAACAATTACTTGGAGAGTTAAGATGAACGCAGACGGAGAAAGAGCCACTAAGAAGGAATTCTTCCACGTACCCTATCGTTAGCGCACTAATGCACTAATTGCGGGCTCTGTGCAGGTGGATCCTAGGATGTGCAAAACGGGTCCGTGCATCGCCTGCTTCCTCCGCTTCACACAAGCCATCGGCCCCTGCCCAGCGCACCCCTCGAGTGCTCTGCACACCCAGGCACATCCCACCTCTGTGCCTTTTCTGAGACTGCTGTTCAAAGCTGAGATGTCCTCCCCACGCATGTCGTCTGCTCCAGAGGGGGTCACGGGCTCCCTCCCCTCCCCCACAAAGCCCCCCTGGTCCTCTGCAGTGCCTGGGCACCTGCCCACCGCAGCCATGTGTCTGTACAATCCCCCCACAGTGCCTGGACTGGATGTGGGTTTGTACATGGTTGTCACTCGCTCCTGGATACAAGTGTGCGGAAGGATGGCTCTATGAGTGTGCCACCTACAGCTCCAGGGAAGGCGTGGCTGAGTGAGGAAGGTCCCGCCTGCCAGAGGCTATGGTGGCTTAGGAGAGAGACAGACCTGGGGACGAGAGTAGTCAGGACAGGTGGCGAGGTGGAGGGTCTGGCGGTCTTGAACGAGAGGAGAGAGGTGCGAAAGCATTCCAGGCAGAGGGAATCATTCAGACGCCTGGCCAAGCAAGGAAACTCTCCCATGCCCTGCCCTCTCTGGGAGCTCTTGGGCAGTGAGGGGCGTGTGCGCAATGCTGCAATCTCATCAGGCTACTCTGTGGCTTGAAAAAACTCCTGATGGCTTCCGAGTGAACACCACTGCCAGAGAAGACAGCAGAAAGAATGGAGACTGCACCAAGATGTTTATAACCGAAGCACGGAGATAAGACATCTATAAAATAATAAGGCAGACGTGACAAGTACCATGTAAACTATACCAATAAGTATAATTTATGGGAGACCAGGGAAGGGAGAGATTACTTTAAATGGGGGCATCAAGTAAGGCTTTAAGGAGGAGGCGGATTTGGGTGATCTGTAACAATGGGCAGGTTCAGGCATGT